CCTGGCAGAGGGTTGGAAACAGATGAGCTTTAAGGTCCCTTCCAACCCAGTCCATTCTATCATACAGTGCTTTGAATTTCAACCTAAAGCTTGAAAAAAAAAAACCAACCCAAAACACATTCCTTTGAATTATGTGAAATTTGTTTATTAATATTGTAAATGTAGTGTAAGTTTTCCTGGGGATTGTCTCACTCTGGAGACAGTGGATACTCTGATTCCTGAATGCAGCATAAGTATCCTGTGATGAGGAAGCTGTGCAGGGGTTTGGTCATAAAGTGGCTGTTTTAAGTTCACATACTGCATTTCTTTCAGTAAGCAGCCTCTTGGAAATCAGAATTCCTCTGGAAATACCTAAAAGTCAGGTACACAAGATATGAGAGAGAGAGAGAGGAGATGGGGGTTTTGCTGCTGGGTTTATAACCTGCGTGTTTTCAATAAAATTACCATGGAAGTTCTGTTCACTGCCCATCTTTTATGGCTGGCTGATAACCCTCACACCTCTGCTGAGATGTGCTACCCCTGAAAGCAGAGAGAGAAAAGGTTTCAGCAGTGTTTTTTTCAGGAGGTTGTTTGTCCCCTCCTCATGCCTTTGTCCTTTTCTAACAGCATCTGGCAGGGCTGTCAAGGGATCCTGGTACTGACCTTTGCAAACACTGTTTGGTGAAGTGTTCCCATGGGAAACTGCTCTTCCAGTTGTCCTTTTCTTCTGAGAACTTCTTGTGCAGCCAACTCCCACACACTCACACAGCCCCTGGCCTCCTGCTCGAGCTGAAAGGTGTTGCCATGGCTGAGGCCAAGGCTGAGCACTAGACCCTGTCATCACTGTTACCTTGGTGCTTCCAGGAGCAGAGTCCAGCCCCCCAGCTCCCACAGCACTGCAGAGAATGTCTTGGCTTCTTCCTTGTAGGACTGTATTCCTTATTTAAGGATACTCACAGGCATCTGAAAGGAAATGCAGTGCCACAGGGCTGCTTGGTGCTCTGAGCTCTCCCACTTCCACCTCCCTGTCAGGGTAGGAGCTTCCCAGCTCCAGAGCTGCCCCTGTGGGTGGATGCTGAGTCCCTGAAATGGGAACTTAGGGCTTCTCCACAGCCCTAAAAGCTCTGCTTCACTCTGTCTCTGAAGTGACCAGAGTCAGAGGTCTCCTCCTCATCTTGGAAATTGTTCAAAGACTTCCAAGATTTCCAAGACCTGTTTTTTGTGGCTGTGAGTGCAGGCCCCAGCTGCAGAAGTGATTGCTGTTCCTTTCAGTTCTAGCCAGGACAGTCAAGTCTCTTCAAATCCTTTTGGGAGGTGCAGGTGCAGCTTATCAAGGCCTTCCCAACATTTTATGTCATCCCTCATCTGCCTGGGCATCCTTGTTCATCATCATCATCAGGCTGTTGTAGGTCACAGGCAGGATCCATCTGTAGGAAAGGGCTGAAGGGATTAAGCTCTCACTCTTCCCTGGCTGCCATCACTCCTGGGTGTCACAGGACCATCCAGAGTCGGGCTGGATTCAGGGGTGGGGACCACAAGCAGTTGAGTCATCCAGGCAAGAACATTTCCTCCTCCTCAGTGCTACAGCTCTGCCTCCTTCTTCATCCAGCACTTGCATTTTCATCATTTCCAGAACAAGTTCTGACAGACAGGCTCGTTCGTGGTGCTCCATCCAGATCTTGATGGCAACTCCCTCCATGATCCAGCTGCTCAGGGTGCACAGGGCATGGCCAGCACAGTGCTGAAGACCAAATGACCTGCCCTAGTCACAAAAGAGCCTTGTGTCAGCATCACACACCTGCCAGAGGGGTGGGACAGGCTGGTGCTGCACTGTGGAGCCTGGCTCTGTGCCCTGGCTGGGGACTGTCCCCCACCTTTGTGTCTCACAGCCCACACTCAGGTGGCTCACGGGTGACTCCTGAGCTGGGAAACCTCTGGAGCCAGTTCTTCCAAATATGGAGAGGTTGGGTTTTGCAAGCAGTACTTCCTACTTCAGGGAAAAGGAGAAGTGTGGTGGTTCAGGGGGTTCTGAGGAAACCAAGTGCTGTTACCAAGTGGGTTACATTGAAAACGTGACATGAGCTGCATCCAGTGGCTCAGAAGAAGGTCTGAGTCCTTTGCCCCCATTATTTCCATGCCCCAGTTCCATTGAGGAAACACTGAGTCTATACCATCAGCACTGCCATCACTATCAAGTCCCCCCCCATCCCCATTTGGACTGTCTGGAACCACTTGAATCTTCACCAAGACGTTGGAGGCAGCTGGACCTCTCCTGACAAACATTCCTTGGTGGAAATGGTGGATGTTAACAGGCCATGGGACATGGGCCGTGTCTTCCCATCCCTGCAGGCTGCTCAGGAGTGATTTCAGGAGTTGGAAGCCCCACGGTGGATGCCCAGGGGTGACATTCAGCTCTCTTTGAGCCTGTGGGGATTGTTGGCTCCAGGCCTGGGCTCTATGGCAACAGGAACCCGAGAACCGGAGCGGAGACGGTTGCCATCTGAAGTAACATATTTGACAAAGAGATGGAAGAGTTTATAAGACATACTAGTCTTTTTTTTATAACCTTTTCATAGGAGTGCTTTTCGAGGGTGATGGTCAGCATTTCAGGTAGATAACAGAACAGCCCTTTATTCACAATTGTGGTACTTGCTCATCATTTATTTGATCCTGGTTAATGTTTATTGAGTTTATAGTACTGAGTAACTGAGGCACAACTGTTGATTTTGTTTGTGGCCTCAAACAACAGATGATGGAGATCCAGAGGGTTTCCTTAAGAGCTCACAGGTGACTTGCAGATCTCTGGTGTGCCCAAGTCCTGCTCAGGTGCCTCAGAATCATAGAATATCCAGAGCTGGAAGGGACCCCCAAGGATCATCCAGTCCAATTCCTGGCCCTGCACAGACACCCCAACAATCCCACCCTGTCCCTGAGAGCGTTGTCCAAACCCTCCTGGAGCTCTGGCAGCCTTGGGGCTGTGCCCACTGCCCTGGGGAGCCTGGTCAGTGCCAACCACCCTCTGGGGGAAGAACCTTTCCCTGAGATCCAACCTGACCCTGCCTGGCACAGCTCCAGCTGTTCCGTGGCTCCATCAGCAGCAGTGCTGACAGAGGGTTGGCAACTGCAGGAACTCTCCAGTTACTCCTTCACATCCCAGGGGTGAAAGGGAGAAGAATTGGAGCACAGAGGGCTTTGTCAGAAGGGTTAAGTCCACATTCTTAGAAATCTTAGCATCAGTGCGGTTTTCAGACATCCTTCCTTCACCAGTTTGGAGGAAGCTGAGCTCAGAGTAAGTCACTGGGACGTGAAGTGATGCAAACCCCAGTTCCAGCTACAAAGGAAGAAACTGCAGTGCAAGCAGGTTTTGAGGCAGCACCACGCAAATTCTTAACAAATAGTTATCACAGATCATTAAAACCTGAAAACAGCTGAAAGGGAAGCCAAGAAAAATCTACAATTCACCAAGAAAACAGCTTTAGAAATGGAGCAGGTCCTCAAAGCAGTGATGTAGCTGAGTCCTGACCTTATGTTTGAATCAAAACTTGGTCAGTACACTCACCTCAGTGCCAGGTTTCCCTGGTACAATTCCTGAAGGACGAAAGCAATGTAAGCTTTTCAACCAGGAGAGAGCAACAGATAAATTCCATCTGTCGAGGCTCTGTTTTCTGCAGGCACCAAAAAATGTCAAGGAACAATTTGTTGCCATTTGTGTGAGGTTGTTAAGCAACATGAAACTCAAATATTGTGCCCATTCAGTTGGTTTTGGAGCAACCTAATTTGAGAAATGGAGAGAGTAACTTTGGTGTGATTCACAGGCTTGCACTGATTCAGTGTCCCAGGGCACACGAGGGTAAGAGCTGCACGTGCCGTGGTTGGTTTGGGATCTGCCTGGGAAGGTCGCAGCAGGTGTGGGGCTGGGTGGTTCTGTGGCATCTCTTAGGATTATAAAGGAGACAGGATTACAGTATCCCTGATGTTGCCTGTTTTGGAGAGGTGTTTACAAGTATCAGCAGCACTTGGTGTTTGTAGCGGAGAACCTTCCAACCTCATGCTCGTCCTGGTGAATCGTGGGTCTGTGTGAAGCATCCCAGTGTTAGCAAGGAGGTGGTGGGGATGGAAACCACAGCATTATGTGGTGGTTACAGGGAATAATACGTGGATTTCCTGTGGGAATTAGTACCAGAGTTCAGTGGTTGTGGAGTCTGGTCTTGATTTGGCACTGACCAGGCTCCCCAGGGCAGTGGGCACAGCCCCAAGGCTGCCAGAGCTCCAGGAGGGTTTGGACAGTTCCCTCAGGGACAGGGTGGGATTGCTGGGGTGTCTGTGCAGGGCCAGGAGCTGGACTGGATGATCCTTGGGGGTCCCTTCCCACTCAGATATTCTGTGACTGGTGTTAAGGGGAGGTGGGAGGTGGCCAGGAAGGCACCGAGCCCGAGGAGCCCTCACTGCACCCCTTGTCCCCAGGTGACACTGCAGCAGTGCTGGGAGGTGGAGCTGCAGCTCCAGAGAGGGGCTGGGAGCGTTTGTTCCTTCCCGATGTGTTTGGGATGTAAAGCACAGGTGACACTGAGCCTGCTGTCGAGGGACAGGCTCACCAGAGGTGTCACCAGCACCTGCAGCTCAGCACAGCCGTCCCACCCCGCTCGGACCCCCCCGGCACGGGCAGGGCAGGCGGGGCCGGGGCTCGCTGCGGGGGCCCCGGGGAGGTTCCTCCACAGCGTCCCCCACCTCCGGTGTGTTCTGTCTCCCAGGTTGGACTTCAACGGGTTCTACACGGAGCGCCTGGAGCACATGTCGGCCGAGCGCAGCCAGAAGGCAGCGCCGCTGCTGCCCCGCCTGGCCGTGCCCGCCCAGTGAGCCGGGACCTCCCTCCGCATCCACTGGGGGAGCTGGAAACCAGCCGAGGGCTGTCCCGGAGACACGGGGGAACGTTCAGTCTCCTGAGATGTGTGTAGTGAAACTTGTTCTTCCGACAGGCTTTTTGTTAAGTCGTCTTTTTTTTTTTTTTACTGTGTTGTACAATGACGTGTCTGTGTGTTGTAAAATAAATTAAACAACGACAACAAAAAATCAGGGTTATTTTGTCTGTGAACAGGGTGTAAGTTTTTGTGGCTGCCCCATCCCTGGAAATGTCCAAGGCCAGGTTGGACGGGGCTTGGAGCAACCTGGGCTAGTGGAAGGTGTCCCTGCCCATGGCAGGGCTGGA